GTGCCCTCCTGCTGCACTATCGCTCTGACTCTGCGTCATCTAGTTGTGTTGGAAAAAGTTTTGTATTATACTTCTTAAAACTTTGTTTTCCCATTTCAAAATTGTTTTCTTTTGTTTTAAGTCTTCTGAATTTCTGAAAATTTTCAAATCCACTCCTCAGGCTTCCTTGAATTTTTATTGGAATTGCAGTGAATTTATAGATACATATGTGATCTTAATAATATTGAAGCATCTAATCCATAATTATGGTATAACTGTATTTTATATATTTTATTATATAGGTCTCACGTTTTTCTCAGGAATTTTTTGTGGTTTTTAGTATATAGCTGTTGCATAAATTTAATAAAATACATCCCTGAAGTATGTTAAGGATTTGAGTGCTATTGAAAAGCCTCCCTGTTTTATTGCTAGAAGTAGGCTAAACTGGGGCAAAAAAAAGATAGCTCCAAGAGATGCAGTGCTTGATTTTCAGCACTGCATGCCCGTCAGGCCTTGCTGGCTGTAGCCCTGATCCCCCAACACCTCTGGGCCTGAGCACCAAACTCCTACCACAGTTGTTCTAGGAGTTGCCGCCAGTCCCATGAGCATTGCTGGGGAGCTCCTGGCCCCTGCGCCCTGCCCACCGCCAGTAGGGAATATTAAGTTACCCTGTTCATCTTAGTAGTTCTTTGGACTTTTGTGTATTGTTTTTCTTATTCTTGGTTTCTTCTCAGGGATCACTCCCTAGTGTTACTCAGGAGATTATATATACCTGGCCAGCAGCATGCAAGGCAAGTGCTCTACCTGCTACACTATATCTCTGGCCCCAACGGGATCCTCTTTCTTCACCTTGAGCAGCCCGTCCTCACCCTCCCTCCCACCAGCCCTTCTGCCATTGCCAAAATTCCTGTTTGACCTGTGAGTCCAGTCACGCCCTCTCAGAACATTTCTCTACCCCAAAGCTACTTATCTAGAAGCTCCAGCTTCTTTTTGTTGTTTAAAATGTGTATTTTTTATTTTTTTAATTATTTTTATAAAAGACCAAAGCTATAATTGTTGATATAATTCTAGAGCTGAAATTGATTAGATAACAAAGCTCTAATATCAAAATCAGTAAGTATAAAAATTAAATTTTATGTGAAAATTGTTATATCTGATCACAGGGTTAAGTCCTTGCCTAAGAATTTATTAAGCTGTTTGTTGCGCGTTGAGCCATCTGTGTCATTGTTTTTGTTTGTTGTGTTTAGTTGGCTCCTATGTTACTTTCCCATCTAATTTGGTGTGCTCCTACTGAATTTCTGTATTGAGGAATTAGGAGGTGTCCCATGGCCACATAAGTGGTGATGCAGTTCAGAGACTTCAGGATCTCTGGTCTGGATCAATGAGTTCATATGGCAGTGGTGACTATGGGAGGTGAGCGTGGCTTCTGGGGCTTCAGGAAGAGGGGGAGGGCAGGGGAAAGGGAGGTTGCCTACCCTGACTCCAAGAAACATCAGACTTCTTAGCCTGGGCACCAGGGGTACCTGAAATTTTTTGCAATTTGGTGTCTTGAGCATAGAATATTCATGAAGTGGTGGAGTTGAGCCCTTTGCATGGCTGCAAAGGTGGAGTATGAGTGCAGCTGCCAGGACTTTGGCAGGGCAAAACTCCTCCCCTCTTTATTTAAACACTGCTTTACAAAGTTGCTCGTGATTATTTGTTACAGGCATTCAGTGTTCCAACTCCAAACCTACCACCACTGTCACCATCCCTCCACCATTGTCTCAACCACCGGACAAGCCTGCCTCCATAGCATGCACACAGTAATTTTTTTTACCACTTTGTTACCACTAAATGACTGATGGACTGATTTAAAAAATACTTCAGTAAAAGATTTGTGAAAATTGGGGGCTGGAGCAATAGCACAGCGGGTAGGGCATTTGCCTGTATGCGGCTGACCGTGGTTCGATTCCCAGCATCCCATATGGTCCCCCGAGCACTGCCAGGAGTGATTCCTGAGTGTATGAGCCAGGAGTAACCCTTGTGCAACGCCGGGTGTGACCCGAAAAGAGAAAAAAAAGATTTGTGAAAATTGTTGTATTTCACCATGGGGACATTAAGCTTTTTTCTGAAGGTTTACTAAGCTGTGGTTGCAACTTAAGCCTTTGGTGTTAAAGTTTCTGGTAGTTGAGATTAGTGGGCTTCTTCATTACATTTCCATTCAATCTGGTTAGTATGTTAGTATCATAGATTTTGAAGATGTCACCCAGCCATGAATGTGGCCATGTGCTCTAGAAAATTCAGAATATTGAACTGGGCAGTCTGACAGGAAGCCAGGTTGTAGCTCTTTAGGTGTGAGTGTGACTGCAGGGGCTTTGGTAGCACAGGAACGTGGCTCACCCCCTCCCACAATCACCCCAGAGGTCTCATCTGGGACTGTGTATCTGAGAGATTTTTGTGGCTAGGGGATCTCTTTTGAGATTTATTTATGAGTCTTGGAACATGGCCAGTAGACAAACTTACATGGCAGTGGCGGTGGGACATAGGCTTTGCTGCCGGGGCTTCTGGGAAGTACAGGGAGGTTGGGAGTGAGTGTCCATCCCAACTGCGAGAAGGCCCAGAGTTTCATAGGGTAGAACTTCTTAACTCAAAACATTTTTAAAAATTTTTTTTATTTTATAAGGTTCCTCCGCCCCTCTCGGAGAGCCCGGCAAGCTACCGAGAGTATCTCACCCGCACGGCAGAGCCTGGCAAGCTCCCCGTGACATATTCGATATGCCAAACACAGTAACAACAAAGTCTCCAATGGAGATGTTACTGGGCCCACTCGAGCAAATCAAGCAAAATTTTATAAGGTAGTTCACAATATTTTATTACATTTAATATGAAAATACCAATCCCACCACCATTACACTTTCCCACCACCAAATTTGGGATGTTTCCATCCTAAGTCCCAATCCCTGTCCCAAAGCACAACCAAAATAATATATTCCATATAGTCTGTTATAAAAACTGATGAAAATGCTTACAAAAAGGTATTCATATGGGAAACAGTTTGAAGATTGTTCTATTTTGGCAGGAGCCATTAAGACATTCTATAGGATATCACTAACATGTTAAAGGATGAGTGATGTCAGGTTTCATATGTATATATATGAAAATATGTATATATGCATATATACATATTTCCCTGTATGATTTGTTGCCTACTATCTGAACCCCATCAAATGTGGTGTGGTACTCATGGAGAATGGGTAGGAAGTGTCTTATGACGTGTTGCCCGGCTGCGAATGCTGCCTCGCAGTCCAGGAATATGTTCACTCTTGCATGAGGCTCGGCCCGAGTATGTCGGGAGCAGCATTGAGCAGGACAGCTATTGGGTTCTGGAGATTTTCGGCTGCCGGGGCTGGGTCCCTTGAGGCGGGGAGGTCTCTCACTCGACCCCCTCTGGGGCGCCCCGAGTGAAACAGCCTAGCATGGCGTCCAGTGGCATGGCTATGGTGGGCTTCATGTTATGCTCCCTTCCAGGAGAAAAAGCTGTGTGATCTGGATGGTGGCCGATGATGAGATTAACTGGCGCCAGCAGAAGGTGGCTTATGGGTGTGACCCCTGGGTGGCCGAGACTGGGGGAACTTAACTCAAATTTTAACTGGAATTCTTTGACTAGTTAGCTTTTTCTCTACCCAAAATTTGAATGATTGTAAAGGATCTGTGGTCCGGATCAATGAGTTCATAAATGGCAGTGACTATGGGAGGTGGGCGTGGCTTCTTACAAATTTGAATGGTTGGAAAGGAAACAATATTACATTTTGAAGTAATATTATTTTTTTGGTGATACGTCAAATATTCTTTTCCCTCAGTTGCCAAGAATATTTTAGCAATCGGGGGTCTTTATTTTGTACGAACAAGCATAAATGCTTTTGCATCTTCCTTTGTGTAGGAGGAAGGGTTCAGCTCTAGTACACTCTAGGGTAATGGCTTAACATGAAGACCCTGAGTTTCTGTAATTCAGCCTTCACAGCCTTTGAGTCTTTCCTTTGACCCCTTTCCTGTGCCTCTCAGATGCCAGCAGCTGGCTTCTGTTCAAACCAACTCCTTGTATTTGGCACCAGCAATGAGCTTGTGGACCTGGTCCAGAGTTGGCCTTTCCTCAGGATGGTGTTGACAGACTGGCCAGGCAACCTATGGAAAGTGGTAAGGATGATAGCCCAGCAGCAGGCACACATCTCACTTATTGGTAAAAGCTCTGCATTTTATTCTCCAATCTTTCAGCAGTGTTTCCTCTTGGAAATAGCCTGGGAGAACACAGTGAATGGAGTCACTGTGAGTGCTGTGGGTTTGAGTACCTGTTATGCTCTTCATTTTGTGTCTTGAATGTGTGTCATGGCATTCACCCTTGAATTTCTTGGCTTGTTGGTCAGTGTGGTGGAGGCCTTCATTATTCTCTTTGTGCCTGCTAATGTTGTTCTTCACTCACATATCCAGCTGAGGAAGTGATCTATCAGTAGTGGAGTGTTTATGAGAGCTGGGGATTTCTGAGCGCCATTTCTTATAGACCCTTGAGCTGTATCCTGGAGTTCTCAGTTAAGTCTGTGCTCAAATTTTAACCCTCACTCTAATGGCTCTAAAACTTGGAATGAGTTTCCCAATTGTGACTTCCTTGGGTACAAAATAGAGGTATTATTAGCAACTCTGTCCACAAAGACAGAAGATTCTGATCAATAATAGTACAAGTGAGGGTTTTTTGTGAATGGTGAGAAAATATTTCTGTCATGAGCAGCAACTTCATTGGTTTTCCAAGTATTTTTGAGGTCAACCAAAATAGGTACTTGCAGTGAGGGTTCTAGAAAGACATGAGATGCCTTCTCCCAGAAGACAGTTTGGTACAGGGCTCATTACTGGATGATAAAGTATGTGAGAAGCTGCGGTCCTGAACCTTTGAGCACTCACCTGGGTTTGTGGGTGGGTGGTCTCCCTGCCTTTGTACACCTGGGTTTGTGGGTCCAACTTCACCTGAGTTTAAGGTGTGTTTCTCATTGCAGGACGATGTGATGATGCCTCAGAGGGTGAGGCTGCAGTACGAAGCAGCTGTCCAGCACCCAACAAGTGTGAGTACTGGGTCCTTCCCACAGGAAGACTAAGATGTTTGAGATCTTTTTCCTAGTGTATATAGAGTCAGTGTATGGTAAGACCCCAGGTCAGGGGCAACCGACTGCTGGTCTCTGGCATTCCCCTTCAGGGAGAGCAGACCCCTTGTTTTCAGGAGTTCTTAGTGCTTTCAGATGGGCATGGTCTGGTTTTGGTTTCTTTTTTTTCCAGTTAGCTTTTTACAAGTTGTGCAGCTGGATGTGAAAGCACAAGTTGGCAGTGAAGATAAGTGTTTGACAAAGGAAAAGCAATTTGTGGACAAAAGTGGCTCTGTGAGCAGGCCCTCACGGGCACTCTAGTAGTTGTTCACAAGAGCTCAGAGCACACTTCCTTGGGGCAAGATTCCTCTAGAAGTCAGTGGATATCTGTTCTTCCCAGGTGCAATTGTTTTTCTTCCATTAGCCAGGACTTTGAGTTTTGGATTAGTCAGCTGCTCTCCATCAAGCCACGTGGCATCCAAGTCTGCACTGGACCCTGTTCCCAACCCTTGTCTGCACGGTGAGACCAGTCCCCAGTCTGAGGCTGCAGTCTTTGGCCCTGTATTTCAGTTGGACTTGAATCCTTAAGTTTGTCATATCAACATAAACAAGTCCTTAACATTCATGTAGGAGGACTTTTTTAAAAAACTCAGTTATTTATTTATTTTTTAGTTACAAAGTTGTTCATGATTGGTTTTCAGTCATACAATGTTCCAACATGATAGCTTCATTTCCCACCACCAATGTCCCCAGTTTCCCTCCCACCACCACCCCCACCTGCCTCTATGGCAGCCTCTCCCTCTCCCTCTCTTTCTCTCCCTCTCCCTCTTTCCCTCTCCCTCTCATTTCCCTCTCCCGCTCCTTAACGTGCTGCTGTGTGTGCCCGATGGCAGCTGATGTGCTTATGGCTTGCTGGCCTGGCTACAGCTCATGCACCACTGTAGCATGTCCTTGTCACAGTCCCCTGCAACCCCTCCTCTTGACAACCAGAGGACGGGTATTTAGAGTACTACTGCCTCCTCCACTCTCTGGTCTTAGTCTTCCCTCATGGAGTTGGTCCCTGGTCTGAAAGAGGAAATATCAGTAGGCCCTGACTAAAGGTTCCACCAGCAGTGGTGGTAAGCCCAAAACCTGTCCACATGTCACAGAACCTCATTTCCGCCACCATTCAGATGCTCCAAATTGTGTAATGATGGCCCTGACCTTAGCCACAAACCAGCCATGTTCCCCTGTGCACTGACTCTGCATGTCATGGCTCACAGCATGGCACAAGGTGGTTCTGTTTTCTGTGGCCTTTGCTGGACACATTGGACTGGACAGTGTGGCCTAGAGCCATTGGAAGGCCCCCACACTCACACCCATGCAGGCAATTCCAAGTTGACCTAGAGCCCTTGGTGTACACTCATGATAACAGCCTTTCCTCACAGCCAGTGCTGGCTGGAGGACGGTGTTTGGAGAACCAGTGGGGAGCACGTGGCTTGTGATGGCCCCACCATCAGAAAGAGTGCAGATGGAATACAGTCTTGGCCCTAGAGAAGGCCTTTGGGCTGTGTGTCCCCCTACCACCACCGCCAGCAACAACAACCCTAGGTCCTTTCTTCCACAATTCTGCTCTTCTTCCTCTGTCCAGTCTGCTGAACACAAGAACCCCAGATACAGTCACAGGAAATTCGAGACACAAATTTCCACCTGTTGACACAAATGCTGTCGCTCATTCAGTTCATACCTTACACCAACTGCTTCTCCTAGGTCCGAAGAAAGCTTCTGTCTATAGGCCAGCACACACCCTTTGGTCCGAGAAAACTGTAATTAATGAGCTCCAGAAGCAGGGCACTGTGTGAGGCCCATGCACATAGCATCTGTACTTAGTGCCCAAAGCCTCTGTTGCTTGTAACCTGTGTCATTTAGGAGATTTGCAATGAGCCTTCCAGTGAGAGGAAGCAAAAGCCACCACTTCGAAAAAGCTTGGTGAGGATCTGCTGGTCCTCATACCAATTCTGTTGCTTCCCAATGGACTCACTGAGGTCCACATGGGGCCTCCTGTGGACTCCCTCTGAACTCCCTGTGGCCCCCTGTGGACTCCCTCTGAACTTCTTGTGAGCCCCCTGTGGACTCTCTGAACTCCCTATGAGCAACCTAGGGGTCCCCTGTGAGCTCCCTTGGTGCTTCCTCTGAACTCCCTGTGGGCTCCTTGGGGGTTTCCTCTGCATTCCTTGTAGGCTCCCTGGGGGCTCCCGCTGAACTCCCTGTGGGCCCCCTCTGAACTCCCGGGGTCTCCCTGTGGGCTTCCCGTGGACTCCCTATGGACTCCCTATGGGAGCCCTCTGTTACTCAGTGAGCTGGAGAAAGTGCCCTAAGGGATCAGAGGGAGTCTGACCCCCGAACCCTCCCTCCCAGCATCCCTTGTGCTGTGAGGGACTACATAGTTGGTCAGCAGCCCTGTTCTCTGCTCGGAGCTCAGGACAGCCAGCATGCAGGGCAGGATCAGAGGCTGCCTCAAGCCTGATTTGCCATGCCCTGCCTCCCCACCAGCCTCAGCAGCAGGCGGGCTGCTGGCTGCTCTGGCGATCAGCTGCTGCTGGGACAGGGCCAGATCACAGGGCTGGAGGTGTAGATGTTCCGGTACTAAGGGAATCCTGTTGGTAGGCAGGAGGCCCAGGCCTGCAGGCAGAGATGGTGGGGATTTCACACGCAGGAATGAACACTTTCTCTCGGGGCTTCCTGCCCAGTGGCACTGTGCAGGCCTGTGTAGTGGGGTGGGGGAGGCAGCCAGCCAGGGGTCCGCAGCTCTCACTTGCTTAGAGACTGACTTGAGAGCCTTGCTGAGAAGCGGGACTGTTCTTATGTGCTGCATAAATGTGGGTCCCTAGAGTTCACATTCACAAAGAAAGTTATGGAAGCACAGAAATTTGGTCAGTTTGAATGCAGCATGGGAGAGTATTTTATTCCAGAGGAGTATTTGCTGCGAGACAGACCCTACCTGTCCCTTCTTGAGCACCCCTCATTCTTGCCGCTTTATCCAGAAAGTTCTCCCAAAACTGACCCAGACACAGTGGGGTTTGGGATTGTCCCCTATTGTCCCGACCAGCTGTCCTTGCCCTGTGAGTTTCCTCAGTGCATTTCTGTTTGTTGTTTTAGATTATCGGTTGCCAAGTGAGGAGAGACCCCCCTAACTCCACTGAGCGGTACACACGCTGGATCAATGAGCTCACCCCACACCAGCTTCTCACCCAGGTACTTGTGCAGCATGCAGAGGGACTGTGTTGGGGCTCTCTTGTATCATGACAGCCATGATAGAGCTGGCCTAGGAAATCCCCCCAGGGAGGAGGGGGCACCCTTGTACCCACCAGGATGTGCCATGGAGGCCCGGCACTGGTTCTGGTACCAAAGTCCACACTGGCTCCTATGACCTGCCGACAGAATCAAACTTTTTCTAAACTTGGAATTTTGATAACTGAAATCTTGATGTCATGGGATGCCTCATAGTGCTGATCAGTTTCTGAAATCTATATCTAAGTTTCACAAGCCCTGAGAGCTTCAGTTTCTGGCCTTGACTTAGCAAGCACACACCGTGCCCTTCCCCATCCACCCAGTGTTGTGCTTGTTGAGCCACTGCTGCATTTTGCTTGTGACCCAGTCTCCTCCACGGTACTGCTTCTGCACATACATGCGCGTGCAGTTGGACTCACTCTTCACACTTGGAGAAGCTTAAAAGTGTGTGTGTGACTGTCCATGGTCAGTGGTCAAGGGCACCGGGAACTTACTTGTTCCCCAGCCACTCCCACAGCGTTACTTCCTGTGGGGAAGTTGCACATGGCATTTCTGTGGTCTCCTTGTGCCACCTGGAGAGCCCAGAGACAGCAGGTAAAAGAACTCAAGAAATGTGCATGACCGGGCTGCAGGGTCCATGTACCTGCAAAGTGGGCAACTCTGGCTCTGCTTTGGGCTTTAGATGATACTGCAGGCACAGTGGACACAGCCCACTCCTATAGGTGCACAGTGGACAGAACCCTTCCCATTGCAGGAAGCATGGTATACTCAGCTCCCACATGGTGACCTCTAGCCTCACCTGCCCAGTTCCCCATGACCCTCACCTGCTTCTCCACTCGAAGGCCACAGGCTTTCCCACACTGACCCCCGTGCACCTGTAGCCTGTGATGGCCCCAGGTCTTGGACAGCCAGCTTGTCACTCTCCTCCAGGCTGTGAAGCTGACCTCAGGATGGTGGGATCAGAGAAAGGTGGTCATGGGTAGTGACGCAAGCTTGTATGCTGCCATCCTCTTCCTGAGACGTTTGAGTATGAACTGAGGGTTCACGACCCACCCTTACACATGAAGAATAGGGGCAGTCCCTCGACTTCTCCTGGTACCCACATCCTGGGTTCCATAGTTCTGTGGTTCTGGTTGGGCCGTATTTTGACAGGCTCTTTCTTGAGAAATGCAGTGAGACTTGGTGTGTTTTTCTCTTCGCACCCAAGATGTATCAGAAAGCGTTGGTGCCAGCGAGAGGAGCTTCTGAGTCAGTACTGCAGTGAGTCACAGACAGACATTGCCCCTTGACAGGAAGTGTGTGATTTAAGGTTAGTAGCTCATTTTAGCCAGAATAAGGGCTTTGGGAAGAGGCTAACAAAATGGTGCAGCCATCCAAAAAGTGCTTTTCTTTAGCAAGGATGTAGACAGTAGTCTCCTTGTCTCAAGGCGACTCAAAAGAGCGTGTTTTGTGTTTCTCCGTGGAGTGGTCGCAGAAACCACCCCTCTGTTGATGAGGTCTGTGAGCAAGTGGGGACAGTGATTGTGTCTGCAGTAAGTTGCAGGGAGGTTTCCTGCTAGAGCCCACAGCTTGTTTGCCTTGCCCAGGTCTCAGGAGAGTCCTTTACTAGGATATTCTGCTGCAACCACACCAAGAGCAGCCTGACACCCTCCAAGTTCACCACAGCATATTCTTCTCTTTAAAAAAAAAAGTTTTACTCCACAAGAAGAAATCACCCAACCCCATCAAAAAATGGGGCGAGGAAATGAACAGAAACTTTCGCAAAGAAGAAATCCGAATGGCAAAAAGACACATGAGAAAATGCTCTACATCACTAATCATCAGAGAGATGCAGATCAAAACCACAATGAGATATCATTTCACACCACAGAGACTGGCCCACATCCACAAGAACAAAAGCAACCGGTGCTGGCGCGGATGTGGCGAGAAAGGGACCCTCCTTCACTGCTGGTGGGAATGCCAGCTGGTCCAACCCTTTTGGAAAACAGTATGAACGATTCTCAAAAAATTAGAATTTGATCTGCCATTTGACCCAGCTATAGCACTCCTGGGAATATATCCCAGAGAGGCAAAAAGGTATAGTCGAAGTGACATCTGCAATTGTTTGTTCATTGCAGCACTCTTTACAATAGCCAGAATCTGGAAAAAACCTGAGTGCCCAAGAGCAGATGACTGGTTAAAGAAACTTTGGTACATTTACACAATGGAGTACTATGTAGCAGTTAGAAAAGATGAAGTTATGAAATTTACATACAAGTGGTACTACATGGAAAGTATCATGTTAAGCGAAATGAGTCAGAAAGAGCGGGATAGACACAGAAAGATTGCATTCATCTGGGGAACATAAAGCAACATAAAGGGAGACTAACACCCAGGAATGGCTGAGGTTAGTACCAGGAATTTTGCTCCATGACTTGAAGGCCAGCCACACGTGCTAGGTGAAAAGGAAGCTCAGAGAGAGAAGAGAGCACCAAGTAAAGGGTGTTGTGAGGACCCTCCCAGGGTGGGAAAAGCATGCTAAAAGTAGTCTATAGACCAAACATGATTGCCACTCAATGCCTCTCTTTCAAAACACAGTACCCAAAATAAGAGAGAGAGAACAAGGGGGAATACCCTGCCACAGAGGCAGGGTGGGATGGGGTAGATGGGGGGTGGGGGGGATGCTGGGACCCGCGGTGGTGGATGATGGGCACTGGTGGAGGGATGGGTACTTGATCATTGTATAACTGAAACCCAAGCACAAAATTTGTAAGTCTATAACTGTACTTCATGGTGTTTCACTAATAAAAAAAGAAAAAGAAAGAAAAAAAGAAAAAAAAAGTTTTAAACAGTAGATGACGGTTCAGAGGCTGGAGTGCCTGACTGCCTACAAGTATCCTTGGCCGACACTCCAGCACAGCACTACTTGGTACTCCTTGGTTCTGGGGGTGACACACCACACATGCCCTTTAGTACATAGATGAGCAAAGGAGCTTGTAGAATCGTGTTCCCTTGCAGCTGGTTAACAGAAGGGGGTGGAAAGATAGTATAGCAGGTAGGGCACTTGGCTTGCACATGACCCCCCCCACACACACACTGGATGCAATCCCCAGCATCCCATATGATCCCCCAAGCACTGCCAAGACTAACTCCTGAGCATCACTGAGTATCACAACAAGAAAAAATAGAAGACACAAATAATGGAAAGATATTCTCTGCTTCTGGAAGAATTTATGTTATTAAGATAATCAGCTACCCTATGGGATGCCATGAATCGAACCAGGGTTGGCTGTATGCAAGACAGGCACCCTCCCTGCTATACTATCACTCTGGCCCCATGAATCTTTTTGCTTGTTTGCTTCATTTTGGGGCCACACCCAGAAGTGCTCAGGGTTTACTCCTGGTTCTGCATTCAGGGATCACCCTGGCAGGCTCAGTGAACTATATGGATGCTGGGGATCAAACCCAGGTCAGTTGCATGCAAGACAAATGCCCAACCCTCTGTACTATCGTTCTGGCTCCAAAACTAGAAAATTTCTGCTCTGCAGTATGCACCTGCATTGGAATAAGAAGACGCTGGATTGGGGGTGGGGAGGGGTGGGTGTAATATCCACTACCACGCACAGACACAGGGCAGATTTCTAGAACATAGAAGAGCTCATGAAGAGAAATCACTATGCTGTACGGGGAGGGATTGAACAAGGCTAGGGAAAAGGGGCGGGGGAGGGGGGAGAAGAAGAGCTTGTGAAATTTCACAGCGGGGAAACAGTGTTAGTGTCATCTAGAAGCGGAAAGAGAAGCTGAGCATTGTGCTCACCTGTGTTCACAATATCCAGGGTCTGGAAACACCCAAGGGTCCTTTGACAGATGAGTGGATAAAGAAATGTGGTCTGTATACAGTGTCTGAAATACCCCCTAGACAGTAGGAAATGAAATCTTGTCTTTGGTGACATCATGGATGGATCTGTAAGGGTCACGCTAATGGAAACAAATCAGCAGGAGAAAGACAATGCAGGATGACCTCCCTCATGTGTGGAAAATAAAGGAGCATACAGAGCTGAGGCGACACAGAAAGTGGAGGGGTTCCATAGACCAAGGTGGAGGCGTTTCAGCACATGGTGGTGGGGTGAGATGACAGCTTTTCAGTGGATTGTGGAAAAATCACTTCTGAAATGTATAACGACGTAGACCAGTGTTACCTTAAAAGTAAATACATAGTCCAGGGGGTAGGGCATATGCCTTGCATGTGGCTAATCCCATTCAATCCCTGATACCACATATGGTCCCCTGAACACCCAGAGTGATCCCTGAGCATAGAACCAGGAGTAGCACCTGATCACTGCTGGTGTGGTCCCTGCACTGCACTGTCCTCTCGTTGTTCATCGATTTGCTCAAGCAGGCCCAGTAACGTCTCCATTGTGAGACTTCTTGTTACTGTGTTTGTCATATTGAATACATCATGGGTAGCTTGCCAGGCTTTGCCATGCGGGCAAGATACTCTCGGTAGCTTGCCGGGCTCTCCGAGAGGGACAGAGGAATCGAACCTGGCTCGGCCAGGCCGGCTCTGTGCAAGGCAAACACCCTACCGCTGTGCTATCGCTCCAGCCCATGGTCCCTGAAAACCTAAAACAAATTTTAAATATATTTCCAATTATTCTTCACAGCTTAAATGTTTTTAGTTTATTCTAGTTTAATTCATATTCATGAGAGTTAAATATAACCTCTGAAATGGGCTAACATGAACTGTTCCCTCATGTTTTAACTTAAAGTAACTATCACAAAGCAGTCTATGCTACAGACCTACCACAGCTAGCACCCTTTAGTTTGTTCGAAAGTGGTTTCTTCCCCACTTTGTCTAACACACACTGTTGGTAAAGGAAACTTGTTATGAAAGACTGTGCCTTTATTAAATCCAGAAGCCATAGGTTTTGAATGTCCTATCAGAGTTTATTCTTGTTGCTATGTGGGTGTTAAAATGTCTGAAT